ACCTACAGGTGCTACAGCTCACACAGCATCTCTCCCTTCCTGCTGTCACTCCCGTGAGCCCCTGGAGCTCCTGGTCTCAGGTGAGGGTCCCTGACCTGTCTGCTGAGCTGTCAACTCAGGGTCCTGTCCCCAGAAGTATTTTGGGCTGAATGTGGGGTGAGAGGCTCTTGAGATGGTCACCCCTAGGAGATCTTTTCTTAGCGGCCTCTCATCCCATCCCCCCACTTCCCCTCACCTGGATACTGGAGCAGTGGGATGACCTCAGGGGCCACAGCACAGATGTAAGAGGGTGTCTGTGTGAAATGGGGTGCAAGATCAGCCCAAGCCTCTCACCCTCTTCCTGTCCTCATTTCCAGGACCCCCTGGAGGCCCCAACCCCCCAGCAACAGGGCCCATATCCACAGCTGGTGAGTCCCAGGGAGCTCTGCTCAGAGGGAGCACAGCCCACCCAGCAAGGCCTGAGAGTCTGTCAGGGGATCGAGTGACCCAGATCCTCAAGGATGTGCTTGTGTCCCAGGGAGGCTGGGAGTCCCAGTTTAAGAGGCACTTGATGGGTGGAGTGGTCATGGCAGGGGAGATGTGGGGGCGCAGGCTGGGGAGGTGAACGTGCTCTCATTTGGGGAGAAGGCAGCCCCCACCCTCCTGCCCCATCCTCATCCACAGGAGGCTCTGGGGATCGGTCTCTCCCACCCACAGGGTCAGGCATACAGATGGGTAAATGACAGGCTCTGTGGGGAGGAGGTGGGTTTCTCTATGGGGGACAGGGGCTGAGCCATGTGGCGGTTCAGGCCCTTCTGGATTAGCTGACTTGGACACCCCTTCCCCTGTCTGGGCCTCAGTGTCTGCAAGTGTAAAAGGAGGGAATCCTTGTCCAGAGCTTAGATTTCCTGTTGGTTCTGGCCCTGACCTCCTGGGAGAAGGGCCTCACAGGGAAGCCCCCGGGACGTGATGTTATGGGGCCTGTCCCTTCGGTCTCAGTGACGGTTACACTGTACAGGGAGGGGCAGGCTGGACAAGGGCCCAGGCATCCAGTCCTCCCCCTCAGCTAAGGCTCAGCTCAGAGGAGGGAACAGGGTGGATCAGCCCTGGTTCATCTCCTGGCTCTGCTGCTCCTGCTGTGGGGCTGGGCGGTCCTTTCTCTCCTCTGAGTGTCTGGTTCCTGTCTGCTCATCCCTGGTCCCATCCTGCTCACAGGCTGCTGGGAGATCAGGTGACTGAAGGGCCTCACAGAGCTCAAGAAGGCAGGGCCCCAAGCCCAACCCGACCTTCCTATGGGGCTGTCAGAGACCTGTGGGTGGAGAGAGATCCAGGAGAAACTCAGAGTCCACCCCACACCCTATCCATCCCTGTCCCTGCTGTGCTGGGGGCAGGTAATGAGGAAGGACCCTGAGCTCCAGATGAGACCTGGACAGGCCCCTGCAGAGGAGGAGTCCAGAGCACAAAGCTGGTGTCCACCTGGGATGTGGGGGTGCAGCATGAGGACAGCACAGGGAACCCACAGTCCCGGTTTCAAGTCCCTGCCCAGCCCCATCCAGGCTGGGTGACCTGGGGCATGTGGTTAACTCTCTGAGCCTCAGCGAAGTGGATGGTTGGGTCAGCAATGCCTGGTGCATGACTGCTGTGAGGTGAGAGAGATAAATGACAGGTCCCAGCATGTGCCTCTCACACAGTAGGTGCTCATTAAATGGCATCATTGGCTCATTCATGATATCACTAATGTCCTAGGTCTAAAATGGTACTGGATAGGGGTCTTGGTGGCCTTGGTCCTGCTGCTCTCCCTTCTTCTCTTTGTCCTCCTCCTCCGACATTGGCATCAGAGCAAAGGCAGGACCTCAGGTGAGTAGGGAAGGGGGTGACCTGGGTCACAGGAGGGTGATCAGAGCATCTGCTACTGGAAACCAAATAGATGGAGAAGGTCAGCTGAGAAAAGGATTTCCCCAGAATCTCAAATCAGAAATCCTAGGAAGAAGACACTCACTGTCAGCACAGACGGACAGAGGTAAGGTCATCTTTCATCCTTTTCAACCTCATGAATATGAAACATTCTCACAAGTGCTTTTTCAGAATCTATTGATAAGATCATGTGATTTTTATCCTTCATTTTGTTTATGTGGTGTATCACGTTTATTGATTTGCGAATATTGAACCATCCTTGCATCTCCAGAGAAAGTCCTCCTTGGTCATGGTGTGTGATCTTTTTAACTTATTGCCTCATCTGGCAACATGAGGATAAGTGACAGGAGGATTTCAACAGTGGAATCAAGGAGACGCTGTTCTGTCTCACTGTCTCACTCCAGCAGAGCAGGCAGGATGATGGCCCTCAGGGAGTCTGTATGCCCAGGTAAACTGCTCACCATCAAGACTCAGGCAGGGAATGACCACCTATCTTCCTTTCCTATCAGGGGAATGTTTGGACATGAAGGACAGACAAGCAGAAGAGGAAAGACAGATGGACAGTCAGGTGAGTTTCATCCGCCCCAGGCCGGAAGGCTCTCAAACCCCAACCATGTTTCATCCCTCTCTCTCCCCCTGCTCCAGGCTGCTGCATCTGATGCCCCCCAGGATGTGCCCTACGCACAGCTGAACCTATTGGCCCATAGACAAAAGACAAGTGCACCCCCATTCTCCTCATCAAAGGATCCCTCAGTAGAGCCCAGTGTGTACGCTGCTCTAGCCATCCACTAGCTCAGGATGGACTCAGACCACCACACTCCAGGAAGGGGTATGCAGGGACCCCAGAAGGCAGGAAAGCTACCCCTATGGACACTTGGATAGTGCCCCACCAACCGTGGAGACCTGAGGTGCCCCTGGGACTCTCAGGGAGTCACCTCATTCTATAGTGAAAGATAAGCCAATATCTCTACATTTGGAAATCAAATGTAATGTAATATGACACATCAAACCTATGAAATAATAAAATTAAGAACCTTAAAAAATCAATGGCCTAATCTATTATGTCAAGGATTTAGAAAAACAAAACATTGCATCGACATTTTAGATCCATAGATAACTAGATGATAAAGATGTGGCTAGTGTGCATTATCTATAATAATAAAAACATAATATGCAAATTAGACTGGACAGCAGAACCACCTTCCCAACATCAATCTGGATGAAGCCGCAGTGGCAGGGGCCAAGGCAGAGGCTGTTAGGGGTGATCAGGCAGGCAGAGCGGTTACGGGTGATCAAACAGGCAGGCAGGCTAGTGGTTAGGAGCCAGTGGTCCTGGATTGTGAGAGGGTGCAGGCCATGCTGAGGAACACCCCCCCACACCCCGATGCACGAATTTCATGCATTGGGCCTCTATTGAAATATAAACCAACCAGAAATAGAATGAAATACTGCCATTTGGGACAACATGGATGGACTTAGAGGGCATTATGCTGTGTGAAATGATTCAGACAAGGAAAGATCGCACTTACCTCTGGGATTTTTCACATCCTCAAAGCAAAGGAAACAAAAACAGACCCATAGAAATACATAACAAACTGACGGTTGCCAGACGGGAGGGAAGGAAGGATAGGTGAGAAGGGGAAGGAAAGATAGTCAATAATAAATATCATATCTGTGTTGCACATCTAAAACTAATATGACATTGTATGCCAACTATGGTTTAATAAAAAATGTCAATTAAAAATGATTAGTTAAACAATAGAATTTCTTTCTAAATGAAGGCATAAGGATGAAATGATAAGGCTTTGCATAGCAAAGGAAACCATCAACACAATGAAAAGACAACCCACCGAATGGAGAGCTATTTGCCAATACATCTGATAAGGGCTTATTGTCCAACATTTATAAGGAACTTATAAAGCTCAACTCCAAAACCCCCCAAACAATTCAATAAAAAACATGGGCATAAGACCTAGATAGACACTTCTCCAAAGAGGGCACACCAACGGCCAGTGGATATATGAACAGATGCTCAACATCACTAATCATCAGAGAGA